TGTGCCGACAGCTCTTTGTACACGGCTAGCCATGGCCATTGCAACATGTCGAAACTGATTAATTCTTGTGCAAGGACGCTGGTGCGGATTCCCTCATCTGATAATCACCTCATCTATCTGCGCATTCACATCTATACATGCAGCGCAACCGGAGTGTTTTTGCTTTCCCGTGCCGCTGGCAAGGAATCGACCATGTCCAAACGTGGAATTGCAATCCTGCAATTTCAAAGTTCTGTGACTGCCGGCAGAACACGATCCGTGGGCCCCGGCACACCACTCTGTTTTTCGGCCTCTCCAACTCAACGACCATCAGGGGATCCTCAACTGGGGCATTCACGTCCAAGGCCGATAACGCTATGGCACAACGCGACGATCGGCGTGAAAAAAGGGAGGCTGCTGGGGGCTGCCCCAGGCAATCGGACGCGCGGTGACAACCCCATCCTAGATTGCCTGAAATACGCAGCTGTGCTTGCGCCTTGGAAAGATGCTCGCGGATCCTCGATTCCACCGGATCGGCTCAGGGCGAGAACAAGTGGGCGAGGCGAACCTTCGCGGGTAGACGCACGGAGACCGTTTCCGTCGGCACCGGTCACGAACGGCGGCAGGCAAATGGTCACTTGCCTGCCGTGCAAAGCGTCCACAGCAGAGAGACCAGCAGTATGCGGCCGGTGGCCATTGGTGCGTTGCCCTAGGTGGCGGCTGGGCTGTCGGCAGGCTTCCTCCGTGTTCGACACGGAGGGGAACACAACAGGCGCTGGTTGAATCGGGCCGCACCATTGACTCTATGACCACCACCACGTGGTCTGACTGACTCGCCCAAAAGGTGCCCATCTGGCGGCGATGTCACGCCAACGAGTGGAGGCCTGGGCCAGTGCTAGGGTGGCTGGCCCCTTACTCATTTTCGATTGTCGCCAGGTTTGGGGCGGCGTACGCGCAGGGGCACAAAGGCGTCGCCTGTAGGGATGTGCTCCGGGTAGCCGCGCAAATGGGGGGTTCGATGGCGGGGGTCGTTCAGGCGTGCCAGGAGCCTGTGTTGTCCCCACAGCGAGGCTTTGAGCGTCCATAGCCTTGTGGGGGACAGGCGGCGCCCTCGGCGCGCAGAAGCCGCTTATCAACTTGGCGCGGACGCTTGGCCTTGACGCTGTGAGACTGACGCCTAGGGTATGGCTTGCTGATTGAGACTGGCGTTGCTTCTGAGACAGCCGCGAGGAACGACGGTAAGACTGGCGTTAGGGGTCGGCTGGCTTGGGCATTTTCGATTGTCCGGCTGGGCGGATGTCCCTCGCTGATCGGCCGGCAGTGCTGACCGGCGAACCGGCATTGCCGTTTGGGTCCAAGGCGACTGACGCCCGTGCCAATCGACTGCGGCCGCAAATGTCGCAGGCGTTGGGGCCGCGACGTGGCAGCTACCTCCATGCAGCGGCGTTGAGCAACAGCGACGGGGAGGTGGGCCGGGGACGGGTCATGGCGGAGTGAATGAGAAGGCAGGAAAAAATAGCGCAGCTACCCACAGGCGCACAGCGCTGGCTGGCAACAGGTCGCACCAAGAAAGCCGCTATTGGGACGTTTCCTTGAGACAGCCAGGGGCCCCCTTGTTGTGCCCCTGCAGTGCAGCACCGGTGCCAGTATTCGTTTCCAAAGGGCTGTTGATGGGAAAATTGGGGAAAGGGACCGAGGATTCTTGTGGCCGATGTCCGGTCTGATCAGCGGTAGCTGAAACGTCGCAGGTATGGGGGGGCGTGACGCGGCAGCACCCTTCATGCAGCGGTGCTGAGCAATGGCGACAGGAAGGTCGGGGCTGGGGGCGGTTCACGGGTGGGTGTGAAAGAAGGCAGGAAAGTGAACTGGACGGAGACCCTCAGGATCCTGCGGACATCCTAGGAGCCGCTGCTGGCACAACGGGCCGGACCAGGAAAACAGGTACTGGCACGTTTTTCCTGAAAGCGGCCTGGGACATCCTGTTGTGCCGCCTGCAATGTCGCGCCGGTGCCAGTGGTCACTGGCCAGTGGCCACAAGTGGCCGTGCAGCACCTGCCGTGTCCAGGGTAATAGGACTGTATGTGTCATTTCCACTTGGTGAAATTGGCACCCAAAACACGGCTACGATTGGATGATTTGACCATTTTGAACCTGGTTTACAACACTGGTGCGCGATCGATGCACTGTTGTTGGACACGAGGGCACCTTGTTTCCAGGCGAGTAGGGACACGTGTCGACACAAAAAAAACGCGCATGAAGACGTCAAACGAGTTATGTGCGAAAATTGTGCAGACTACTACCGCGCTCTTGCTGCAGAAGGGCCAACAACTTGTTGTTGTTCCAAACACAAAATTCTTGCGCCTCAAGGCCGCGATACGTGGTTTTGCTGACACCGTTGGGAAGTGCTTGCAATACTCCTCCGACACCTAGTGCGTTTGCATGCCCTTGCGAATGGGCCACTGCCCTCTGCACTGTCTGATTGGTGTGACGAATGGCAACAAATACCCGTGATTGCCGTGGACAAATTGGGATAAATGAAGGTGTTGACTTTCTGGAAAAGGGAGTGGAGAAAATCTGCTCGCGCTCTGAAATATGATTTGTCTGGCAAATATGAATTCAAATTGGTCAACGCATTTCAAACGGCGATAGAACTGAGTGACATTTTTAATTTTGGCCACTAAACACCAGAATCTCATGACAACGCACAGAACGTGCAGACAGCTGCACGGCGCTCAGCATATGTGTATGCACTTTTGCTACGATTGAGGAAGTGGTTTTTAGTCGTCTTTATCGCACAAATTAGACTCGCTTGCCAGGTGCTCACACACGGCCGCTCCCAGGCATAGACGGCAAGGACGTAAACAGATGCACTGCAGGACTAACATGCATCTAAGCAACTGCCACATCAAGCATATCAATTCTCCGTCTCCATTGTCTCCATATACATTTCACCATAGCACAATGCCATGCCCAGCTTTTACGGTAAGTTGCATGGTACTTACGTAAATACTTTCGCCATAAATCACAACATGCTACATAATCGTTTATTAAGTTCCCCCTCGTCCTCACAATCTTCAAAGGCCATTAGGAGTGCAAGGTATTTGAATAGCGTACCACATGATCAAGTCGAATCATGATTCGAAATGCAGGCGCGCATTAGATTGTGGGATTGTTTCCCACTGTGGCCAGAATGTGAAGGGCACACATGTCAGATTGCATGCCGTATGAAATATCGCTCATCAGCTACTTTGCCACAGTTTTGCAACAGTGCAGAAGCAAGCCACAATCCGAGGGAGCCACCGATAACATCAAGCGCACAGTCACGATGACGTTGTGCAGGTAAAGGTCACTGGATCACTAAGTGGCAAAAAACTAAAACAAGGACACTGGATTCGTTATCATCAATAAATTTTGCGTGTCAAAGTTAGGAGGTAGTCATCAGCTCCTTTGCTCCCCCGAGCAAAGCAGCGTTCATGATTGTTCCGTTAGAAGCCATGGATATTCCAGCAATCTAGTCACTGAGGTGATGTGCATCGGAACGAATAAATCCGCAAAATTCGGTACGGCTCTCCCTCCGCCGCCTTAACATGGACACTGGATGAATTTTTTCACCGTCATAATTTTCTGTCTTCCGCTCATCAACCCTCATCACCTGAGCGTCAGTCAGGCGGCCGTATGTTGCGCCATCCCTGGAGGACGTGGAGGCGGTAATCAAGCAGGACTTGGTGATTTCCTACTGGGACATTGCGCCCACGAAGACGGCGGGGCTGGGAATCAAGGGCAATTTGGTGGCGTGCAGCTGTGGCGTGAAGGACTTTGAGATTTTTGGGAAGATGCTAAACAGGCGCTGGAAAACATACAATGAACGGGATGGGCTTGTGTTCTAGGGGGAGACGTTTGATTTTAGGATCGTACGTCTGGGACTGCCTCTGAGAAGTGTGTGTGTTCCGCGTGTGTTGTCCGCACGGTTCTCTGGATAGTGTTTGTCGTATCACGTTTGGCTTGCGGGGAAGGAGGCTACTGTGGTTTACCCGTCATCGGGACCTCTTCTGACGTCAGCGAGCATTGAAGTCTTCGGCATTTCGTGGATCTTCAACAAGCTCGACCTGACTTGCGCCCGTCTTTCAACGCAACACAAGGTACGGCGGTTGCCGCCACATATTTTCCCTTGAAAGTCAGTTTCAGCTTGTGGCAATCAAACTCCAGCGTCGTACCGGAGCGCGAGAGAGCTCGATGGCCGCGGCCTGTGGGCCGCAACGCCAACTCCGGATACTGGCTTGGTGAGAATCCGTCAGGGAGCGCCTTAAAGCACGGCCCCAAATTGTAGCCGCAGTACCCCAAGCATTTTCCTTTCCTCGGGGTAGACATTGCCCTCCGGCGCCTGCGCATTGCCGGAAAAAGAAGGCACAGCAGGCTAAACGCCAACGCTGCAGCACAGGGGCGGGGAGGCGCCCTCGGGTAGGTTGCCCTTGAACGGTTTCCGGACCTCGCGTTGCCCGCGGCCCTCAAGAGTAGGAAATCATGGCTTGGTTCGTCGTGACAGACCAGCAGATACGCCCGCAGCGCGCTGCCTTTGTGCTGTTTGTTGAGGATTTTGTCGCTCCCGGTCTTTTGCCGCTACCGAAAAGCCTCGCGAAGGATGGCGTGCAAAAGCTTCGCCGATATGCCTGGGCAACAACACTTGGTCTGGGATCCGACGTTTAAGATGGCCTTCAGGTTAGCAGAGCAGCCGCAATACAGGCAGCGCATTGTCTCCGTCGCCACTGGAACTAGGCGCTGATGCGCCGACGCAGTGCCGCTTGGCCTTGCTGCGCGGAGTCGGTGTCGCCTCATATATTGTCCTGCACTCGGGGCTGCCCAGAGGCATAGTAGCCCGCGTTTTTGTTTTCGTCAATGCGGTGCTGCTGCGCCTCAGCTCTCAAGAGCGCTCAAAGGGACGAAAATCTGACACAAACACCCCTTGACCTTGTTGTCTGGCTACTAGGCCGCGGGATCGACAGCCAAGGCTGGGCGAGGTGTCAATGAAGCTGCCGCTACTTTTGGCGCTGGTTTTCCTTGCAGCCCCGGCTGCATCGGCCGCATCAGCGACGGGTGAGGGCTGGATTTTTTTTGCACGCTCAAGGAAATCGAGTTGCGCCGGGAGTTGTGCATTGGGTTCGACCTCGGATGCTCCTCACGCGGTCTGACTGCCCCCTGCAGGCTCACGAGCGCTGCAGCAAGCAAATGGTCCGGCTGCCGCCCCAGCCGGAGATGGCCGGGAAGACGCAGCGAGACAGCAGGCCGCTGCAGTGGCCAATGTTCAGCGGCTGCAGCAGATAGAGGATGTCCTTTCTGCGGCAGAGGGGCCGGCAGCCACGCTGGTCCAGAACTACCAGGTTGCAGGTGAGAGGACAACAACACCCCTAGGTGCTGGATGTGTCTGTCTTTCGGTTGCAAGCAAAGAAGCGCTGCGCCACCTGTTGAAGCGACGAAGGTGCAGAGTGCAGGGGAAGTTTGCTTTGGGATCCAGCCAAACGACTGGCAAGTTTGTGGGCCCTTTTTTGAAGAGTTTGGGGCACACTAGGCTACAGTTGGAGGCTCTATGCAACAGTCCCGAAACAGCGGCTGCGAGCAGCGACAAAATTTTCCTGCTGAGAAGACAGGTTCCTCGTCCTGGAGTTCAACGGGACTGTGATGGGTGCTGGTGAAGTGATTATATCTTCCATTGACCAACTGGCATGACTACACAGCAACATAGAGGCCATGAACAAGGAGCATGTCAATCAAATACTGTACAATGCCTCCTTTCGGATGGCATCAGACAATGGTACAGTCAGTGTCGATAGATAATCTTTTTCCTAGTGCTGGACGTTGCAAGTGGGCGTCCATCCTTTCGGAAAACAAGGGACTGATGGATCAGCTAGCATTCGTGTGTGTTGCGGAGTTGGTGCCCCTGTGCAAGAGGACATGGAGATGGACATGGACATGGAGATGCACGTGTTCATTCCACTGGTTTAGGTGCAGGACATGGCCCCATTCATAAGATAGGATTCAGGTTTGGGGCATATTGGAGTGTCATAATCTTTGGGCGGCAACACAACAGTATTCTGTGTTGCCAATGCAATATAACTGAAAGCAACAGTAGGTGCAAAATAATGGCACACACAGCTGCACATATTGAAGCACATGTGCACGCAATGTGAACCCACTGTGTACACCTGTGAACAACAGTGCTTCGCAAGCTGGTGCAGCTCAGCAGCGCAAGAGCACTGATGACTTAGATCCAGGAGCGAGCGTACTGCCCCTTGCACGTAGCCTGGAGTTGGATTGGGGTGCTGTGCTTATATTGTGGCAAACATAATCGGCACTACATGAACCAGTTATGAAGCTCAGGTGCTAAAGGAGCTCCGATTGATTAGTGACATTGATTAGCAGATCAGCTGATTGTCCAATTTTGGTGCACGGAATGATGAGAAAAGCAATGAACGAATTTGAGCTGTTTCATCCTAGTGGCTTTCAGCATTGGTGGCATGTTGGCCAGGGAAATGTCAACGGAGAAGGTGGAATTGCTTGTGAAATTCAACTGCGGTAATGCCCAGCCCTCTACACTAAGCATTCCTCAACAAAATAAGGCCACAAGTCGTTGCACCGCCTGAGAACGTGCACATTGAAACAGCTGGCAATAGACAATCTTCAGCCATCAGGTCGTTTGGTAGTTTGGCAACTCACTGCTAATTGTCGAACAGACCTGATGGAAGGTATTTGTTCTCGAACAACGCACAGTCCCTGTTGTATAAAAAGCCCTGTTCTGTTCTGCCTGGCAGGTGACGACGAAGCTAGGGCGTTGGCTTTTGCTGATGTTTGGCTTGAAGGCAATGGACCAGCGATTGTGATTGCACTGGAGACCTTGCTAGATATGAACAAGGATGACAACATAACAGTTCTCGAAAGTGAGTAGATCCCACAACGCTTACTGTCTGCGATTTGGGAATAATCTCCTTGAAATCCAGATGCAGAAATTTCTTGAGAGACTTGGTCCTGCAGGCCTCGGGAACAATGCAAATTGAGAGAATTCATACGTACAAAACAAGGTACTGGGTGAATGTGCCCTTGTTCGCATAGTTGACCCTGGACCAGTGGCACATGAACCCAAATGGATAATGTGCGTGAATGTAGGCATCTGTGTTAATCGCAAGACGACTGTACCCATTGAACAGCAACTGCTTCAGTTTGAACCATGGCGTAATCACCAAAGCACATGTTGTTTTCTTACGCTGACATCAGTACGGCTGGTAATTGCTGGATCCTGGAAGAGGAGTCTTCTCCTATTTCGAGATCGTGTCTGGACCTCAAGGGGAACGCAAATTGACATGGTTGATTTCACAGCGCGGAGGCCCCTAGCCCTGGCATGCCGTTGTTTGTGTTGAGTCACAGGGCAATGGCGCGCACTGGCTATCGTCTGTATCGTGCAAGCCAGTCCCTCCCAAGTTCGGTTGTAGTGATGAAGCATTAGATCGCATCGCAGTTTCGGTTGGTTGCCTCACCCAGTGATGCAAAATAGCCACAGAACAATAGCATGCAACAGTTCCACGCGTAATCGTCTCAAACGTCTTTCATTCTCAGGCGCGCCTTCCAATGACGAATAAATGAATGACCCGCTGTTTTAATGGCCAGCCGCAAACTGCATTTCCGCTGTTTCGCTGTGGGTGCTGTCGTCCGTTCTTGTTTCTGCTGTATTAGTACATGTCCACATGTCACAGAGGAGAAGTGAAGCGGAAGTCGGCGGAATTGACGTTGCTTTTGCTGCCTGAGTGCAGACGCTGCATCTGGCATGAGGGAGGTGGAGAGGCAGGGACTCGGCACAATGGTGTCGGAATCCGTGGCAACGGGCCTAGTCTTCGTTAGGCAAACCAGCGACGCCCTACCCATGGTGGAATTGCTGAAGCTGAGGTTGAACGACGAGAGGGACACGTGTATATTCGTCAAAATCCTCATGCAAGGTGATCTTCGGCGCTTGGCCCCAGCCACTTCACGTACTGACAATTCCTCAGCGGTTGATTATTCCTTGCTATTCATGAGAGGGTGCGACCCAACGCCGCATGGTCTCTTCTGCCTCTATTCTCAGGTGTAAGTGGTATTGGGACAGTGAATGCCTGTCAGCTGGCCATAGTTCATTTGCGACAGAGAGTGCATTCCGATAGTGCACCTTCTCCCCTCTCTGCCTTTAACCTCGAAATCTCAACAGGGGGATAGCAGCTGTGATGTAAAGAACCTAGCTTGCCCAGAAATGTTCCCTACCTGTGGGCCAATCGTAGCTGATGAGGCATAGCATGCAGTCCCTCGTTGACTCCCTCGATTTGAATTTGCACAAAATACACAAGGCCCCAATCAACTGCGCCTACGACAGTTTGCAGCAAGGTTCATGTGTTTTAGTTTCACCACTCCATTTCATGACACGCTGTGTGAGTAGCCGCATCGCACTGAGGCTTGTTGAAGGCAGGGACTTTCTCATTGAAGCTTGCTTGAATTTGAGCGTTTTTTTTTTGTTTTGGCCAGATGCCGAACTCATGGCCATACGGCTTGGATTCGACTTCGAGTTCAGCCGTGCGTTCAACGCCGAGGAGCACACGGAGTTGAAGGAATGCTTCTTCGAGCCTTGCGAGGACTTTGGAGAGGAGGTCACAAAATGCTGCAGCAAGAAGAAGTCCCTCAATTCGGGCGTATGCGGCTGCATGGGCGACAAGTGCGTTGCCCCATGCATACCATGGGAAGCACACGTTGAATGCTACCGCTTCCCACAATTCCGAACATTTTGGGAGCGATATTCTCGTCAAGTCCTATGCAATTTGCGGGCCGTTGTTTAAGACGGGCGCCTGAAGCGGACCACAAAAGCGCGATTCCCATGCCACAGGTTATCCCATCACGGAAAGAGTAGCTCCCCAGCGACGTGCCTGCCAAGGCAAAGGGGTGAATTCTACATCAATGACAACGTTTGGGTGCTACTCATGATGGGAGGCACTTCGAATCTATGGCGCCCTACAATGCCCAATTTTCGAGTTCCAGAGAACAGCAGATCTTGGATCACTTCGTATAAATTCTATACATTTTGGATTGCCAGTGACAATATTCGTTCGCTTCAACAAAATGGTGTGCATAAAGTGCTGATCATTACCTGCAAGAGCTGACTTGGCGTTATTTCCCATTATTTGCCATGAGAAATAGAGCCTTGCCAAGCAATATGAGCCCAAGAGGATGTAAGTACGGGGAAGTCGTGTGGATACTTATGTCATGATTTGGGTTAATTGTGCCGAAATTCCCATCAGTCGGACCTTGTCTGTGTGTGCGCGTCCCAGGAATGAATGCGATTTCAACCTGGTCTTCAAGGCGCCGCGCCCGGTCTGGGTTTGCAGACAGGAAGTTTGCCAGGCAGAACAGGCGGTGAAATGCCTATGCGCTGAAGAAGAAGAAGAAGAGAAGGAAGAGAAAGATGAGGAAGAGGAAGATGGTAAAGAGGAAAAGGAGGATGACAGCGGTTAGGACCATGTCGGAGTTTCCCGGACAAGGTCCGACGCTCGTGGAGTTCAGACATGTGATTTGAAGCTTAATTTGAGGACTGATTGTGAATAAAACAAATAGAACAAAACCGAGGCTCTGGGATTGAAAGGGCAAGTTGCTGCATATCTTATTGGTCAAATACTGTGTTGCGTTTGTCCGGTATTTCTATGAGTGAAATGGCTGGCTGGCCGTCATGTTATGTGGCTGGATTCGCGCCCACTGCTGGCTAGGAACATGGACGTACCTTGGATTCCACTTGCACCTGCGTTTCATGGCCTGATTCTGTGCTTGCTTTGTTGTGGGCATATTCCTACCTTGGATATCAAATGCGTGAAAGAATTCCTTCAGTTTGGACAGCGAGAGAGTAACTAGTGACGGCGCGGTCTCCAGGCTTTCTGGTATGGCCAAATGCTGGATGTTCTGTGGACATGGGGAATTTCACGTTTTCAGCGAAGGCCAGCAGTTTACAGTCTGTCTGCAACACGGAGCCCCTTATTGCGAGGGAAAGGATACATCTTGTAGAAGTTCCTGTATACGGGCGTGTGGTAGATGAGGTGCCTAGGCTTGGGCCGCCTCAGGGTGAAAATAATGGCACCAGAGTTTTGTCACACTATTTGTATTTCATGCATGGAGCTTCGTTTCCTTCAGCTTGCGCATCCACTGCCACCTCCCTTCATTCTTGAGGGCCGGTGGCTGCACTCCTCGAATTTTAGACCAGCCACAGGGGTCGACCAAAACCATACTTGGCTTAAACAATGGTGCGATGCATACATTCTTTAATGGCTGCGCCAAAGGTAAATTTAGTTACGCGCCTCTTGAAGGAAAGGCCATTGATGCGATTGAATGGCCCCCTTTGGAGTGCACACGGGAAGCACGAATCCACGATCGCTGATGCTCCAACGGGTTGGCACATGGCCAGATGCAAGGCCACACCACACACAAAACGCCCGGGGCTTACATATTTGTTCACCCTTCCCACCATGAAGAGCCTTGCCGACGGTGGCAACGACCCCCACAACCGAACAGTTCGAGTCTCTTTGCACCCACAGAACTCTTCTTTTCAAATGACAATGACATCATCCATCAACAACCAGCCAAATGACACTTTGGCATATGTCTTATAAAGTGGTTGCATTGTGGCGATGAGTGGGCATCTCTAAAGGTGCCCACACAATCAATGGCAATGTAGAAATGTTTCAATTGTGAATGCGACCCCAACCATAGCATTTGTCTCTGAATCAGATGGCATCTCCCACAACAATCAAATTGATGCTCACAAAAGTCCCATCACAGGAGAAATAATTCTGTGAATTCTAAAACATATTTTCTTTTCTTTTTATTAATTCAGAATGCCTTGCATATAAACAATATTCTTGAAGTGCATACAAGTCGCACACCATAATACATAAGTGATCCACCCAGTGAAACGGTGGTCATTATGCGGTGTTGCGAACATGCCACGTTTCATATATGTTCCCTACACATTTTGGCAGGCAAGACCACAAGCCACAAAAATGTGGTGCATTGTCATGGCGATGAAATCTCTTGATTCCCTGTGCCAACCCTGGCCAAACGATGAAAAACAACAAAAAATGCCATGGCACACGTAAGGCAATTACAGACAGTGCGATATCCTGATCGCCATGGTGAATAGCACACTTTCTGGGAAATTGGGGAGCAAGCCAACCTACACTCAATCCATTCTTGTGGCCAATGTCTGCCGGGGTATCGCCAGCAGTGCGCAACAAGGGGTCCTCCACTGTCCACCACCACCAGCACGCGCCCATGCTTTTGTTCTAGCGCCTAGCTGAATTGTGACCATTCAGCACCACAGATACCATAAGGAACAAACAGAAAGATCGGCAATTGTTTTGTGCGCCCTGTTTGCAGCTGTATTCCCTGTTCGTCTGGTGACGCCAATCTCTGGTCGCTGGTGGGTGAGGTTTTTTGTGCTTCCTGCCGTTCGTGCTACTGTTTGCTTCATGCTGCTTCCATTACACTGTGCCAAACACTGTGAGGTCCTTGCATGCTGCCACGAAAACTGAGGGTGTTTCGAGGGTCTGACCTTAGTGGAGGCACGTATCATGACCAGCACATCTCTCTTTCCATCAGGCTATGTTGACATCATCACACTTGGGGACTTTTCCATCGCATGTTCATGGTGCGGAAAAAGGCTCAATTCATTCTTGCTAGAGGGTTATGCGCTGTTTCATATCTCCCTATCACCTTCTGTTGATGAGACAATTTTCTAGCACCTCATGCCAGAGCAATGTGTTCTGCTCTTAGGGGACCGCACAGCATTGTGACATGTAAGCAGCAGTGACGAGGGTAGGTCTGACATTGGACAGACGTTCCTGTGGCTGTCACTTGCCTTTGCCAATTGTCCATCAAATTCGCTTGAAATTCACAAAGTTGGTGCTGACAAAACTAGACAGTTGGGAAGAAGCACAAGTGGATACTCCTTCACCTTCAGCATCTTTCCTTCTGGGCATCAATCTAGGGAACAGAAGAGTTCCATTCTGAGTCCATGATATGGCCACTGGGGCAATTATCTGGTGCTGTAGGCATCAGATTCTGCAGTGGTATTGCCACCCCAGCACAGCTATTCACAGAAAACTGTGGCAACCAGATCTGGCAATCTGTTCCATGTACGGATGCGCGATGTTTGCACTTGAAACGCCGAGCAGTGTGGCAAAACAACAAGACTCATCTGTTCAATGTATTGGCTTGCGGCATGCACATCTTGCACCATTTGAACAATGAGGTTGTTGTCACAGCAATTCAGAGTGGACATTTTGCTTAGGCACAGCTGTTTTCCTCCAAATTCCTTATGAAAGTATGCCAGGATTCTATGTTCTCTCTGGAAAACGCTGGTTTTGGGAGCGGGCAGCAGTCTTCCAGCATTCAGGCGAGACGACCAGATGAACCTTGGGGGTGGGATTGGGTACAGTTATCAAGCTGAGCCGTTGATTCACAGACATCTGCAATACTATCAGCTTTTTTTCCCAGTCCTTCCACTGATTGCTGCGTGCTATTACTATTGCACAAGCACCCTGCAGTATCACCTTTGACAGCGTGGACAAAACAGCGTCACAATACCCGAGCTACGGAGGGGTTGCCACTGCGTGCAGGTCTTCCTTTCTGCCATAAGAACCATCATGCAATCGCGTCTGCCACTGCCCACCAATTCCATTCGTGCAAAGCAGCATGGCCGCCAATCCCACCTGATTCGGCTACACGATTGCGGCCTTCCTCCCACACATTTGTTGGCTTCATACATTTTTTTTGCCTGGCTGAGAAAAAGCCCGTTTTTTCAAAGGGATAAACACTCTGGACATATCACGGATGGGGCATGACTTGCAAAGGCGAAACCTTTGTATAAAAGGGATCCCAATGTAACACTATCTTTACCGGAAAATTTGCTCTCTCTCCGCCGCGCATATGTCGCATAGGCTCGGGCATGAACACGTCGCACGGGTCCCCGGTGCCCCCCCTGCGACGTGTCGAACTGTGGGACGCTCAGGGGCGGACAACCCGTCGACGTTGGGCAGCCGATCGGAGCGCCGGCCGAGCCACGTTGCGACATCAGGGTCGGGTGGATGCGCAGCCCACCGCGCTTTGCGCCCCTGCTACCGATGCCTTTACCGATGCCCTGCAAGCGTCGCCGTCTTACGGGCATCACCTGAAAATCATGATTTCCTCACAGCGCCACTTGAATGGGATCGGTTAAGCCTCCTAAGCCTCTGGAGGGTGCTTGTCCCGCGTTTCACAACCTGAGACTGTGTAACGGAACGGAATACATGCAAAGGGCGCCACGCTTCACAGCGAGAACTTTGTGAGGCTCTTTCCCAGGCGCGGAAGAAGATACAGAAGCCTCCGCACACGAGAGTAGCACGCAGCTCAGAGACGCGCTGCAACCGCCGCGAATTCAAGTTGCCCCAGACAGGGATCGGGACAACCCCAGACAACCCCAGACAGGGGTCTCGGCCCAACAAGGTGTACACGATTTGGCACGGTTCAGAACACGAATGCTAACGTCTGAGAACGCGATTTTTACCGCCTGAAAACACGGATTCTAACGCGTTAGGACACGATTTCTACCGGTTGAAGACACGATTCTTGACGCCTAAGAACCGTGCTTTCAGCAACTGAAATCCGTGCTTGGAGGCGGTCGAAACCGTGTTGTCAAGCGGTGAAAATCGTGTTCCGTGGCGTTGAAAATCGTGCTTTGAACCAGTAAAAGACACATTTTGAGCTGTGGCCAATCGTGTAAATTTTCAGCACACGATTGTGAACTGTTCGAAACACGACCCTTAACGGTTCAAGACAAGGTATGCAGGCGCAACAGTTGAAGCAGGCAAGCTGGTTGTGTGTCATCGGTGCATGAATCCTTACACTGGGGTGTGCCAGCGCATGTGAGCCTTTGCATTGTTTTTGCCGTAGAGACAGGGGAACGTAAGGTGCCAAGGTGAGGACAGCGCATGATTGAAACTGGGTGCATAGGTGACAGGCATAAATCTATTTTGTTTTCGTCAATTAACTATGATTCATCGCTCCCTTTGGGCTCAAGAAACGCTGGGGGGTATTGTTTGCATCACATACACCGTTTTCAAGATGCGTCGGAAGGAAGTTCCATATTCCTGGACATGGGATGTACGTACGTGCTATGTATGTGCCACACGGCATCTTCATGGCTCATTGTAAGGCATAACTTGCGACACTAACATTCGTGCGCCATAACACGCAGTCAAAAATGAGTGTAGCGTGAAGGAAAATTCCCTGGCCATGGGGTTGCCTTGATGGCCAGCTTTTTCCTTTTATTTGTGAGGCGATGTGGGCCGCGTGCATCGTGGTCACCATTATGGAGGCTCCATTCAATGCCCGAAATCTTTTCTTGGACCTGTTCGCTTGCGCTTTACTTTGTACTACAAGGCTGAATATCCACGCGCACTGCACACCTGCGATCCTCGGAATAACCCGGC